ATCCTAAAACCCTCACTTGTCCTCACTTTATCAATTTGTGCTTCACATAACACGTTTATCTCACACCCATTTTCCTTATCTTCTGCAATTAATGGAGTTGAATTTTGTTTCACCTCAGTATTAATTACTTTTTAAACATCCCTAAATCCAACACATAAATTTTCACACACCCTTACTTCATGGGAACACCCAATATCATGATGATCCTTATAGCTACCATCAGGGTGTTCCTTTATGAACTCACCCTCCTATTCTTCCTCAAGCTCATCACACGCGCCACCGTCATTCTCATAATTGCTTTCCTCTGTTTGTGACTTCTTATTACCACTGTTAATCTTATCAATCCTCATAGGACCATCTGTACCTTCCATAAGTTTGATTCTATATATATTTTCATTCACTTCTAGATTAAACACCTCATTTAAATTCATTGCAAATTTTGTTTTAATGAGAAACCTAGCTACACCCAACTTTGTATGTTGTTCTGTACCGACATCGAATCTAACATATTCTCCTACCGTGCCAGAGATGAATTTGAAAAACTGGGGACAACACACATGGCAAGGAAGACCGTAGCAACGTAACCAAGCGAGTCACTCATTATCCACGTCCACCGGCAACCATGGATGAATGTTAGGGAACCACCGGGTTACCCAACCGTTTTCTTCCTTGACTAATGCAATAATATCCTATTTCCTTCAATAGACAAAGATTTACTCCTAAGGTTGTAGCTTTGATACGGAAGTACCCCTTAGCTTGAAGAGCATCTTGCACGTTATATGTTGTTCCCGACTTGACCACCACACCAACAAAATCTCTTTCAAACCTTACTAAGTCATTTTTCTTTATGTTGAAATGTTAGTGTGCAAATCCAGTTTTTCCAACTCTAAGCACCCAACTTTTGCCAACCTTCTTATGCATCCCCTGTGTTCCTCCTCATTGGTCTTCATAGCGTCCTTAAAACTTTTACCTCCAACAACCTGCGCGTATGAGATATTCGAATTTCTTGCATTCCAATTCTTATGCCCCAGATGTTGTACTCATCTCTCCTACCCCTTCCATCATCCTTGACTGTTCCTTAGTCTCATTTTGAAAGTTGTTCGCATTATTCTCACCTCGTTAAAACCTCATCACATTTGCGTAGATCTTTATATAATAACTTTAAAATATTTAAAATTATAATCTCACCTAACTTTAACAAATGTTCTTTTCAAAACGTATTAAAACATCTTTTTAAAATAATAATTTAATATTTATATTTTAAAATGTTATTGTGTTAACTTTTTAAATGTTATTAAATTTTTATTTTAATATAATACGATAGTAATATTTTAATTAATATTAGTTCAAATGGTAGCATTTAAATATTTATAAAAAAACAACAGTTTAAAATCTCTTAATTTTAAAAATGTTAACTTTTCAAATATTGTAATTTTAAGATATTTTTTTATTTTTTAAAATTTTAAAATTTTTAATAGCCCGTGTAAACTAACTTTTATTATGAGAAATGAAAACAATCAACAAGAAAGTTAGATTTAATTATGGCATTATATTAATATTCTTATTTAACATCTAACATAATTCTATTTATCTGTCAATTTTTAGTCTAAATGTAGTGTGTTTAATTTGATCCTTACTTATATTGAACAGCATTTGATTAATGATTGTTTTATTTTAAAAAATGATTCTATTTATAAAATGATTTCAAAACATTCAATAATATAATTTCTTCTAATTTATTACATAGCCCCCTTCCATAATATATCCTAACATATTTTAAAATATTAGTATAATATTATTTTAAAATATTAGTATAATATTAATGTAAATTGGCATTTTAGATGTTATTTTGTTTTTATTTTGATGTAAGAAATGTTTTTATAGTTTAAACTAATACTAGGTAAAGTATTATATGTTCTAAATTCATAAAAGTTAACATTTTAAATATTATTAACTTGAAATTTTTAGTATATTTCTAAGTCTTATAATTTTAAAATATTGGTTTATTTAAAAAATATAAGAATGTATGTTATTTTAACATGTAACTGAATTGTTAAATAAACATATACAAATTGATGTTTTTTTAATAAACAAATAGATTGAAAAGGAGCACAAATCTTACTCAAAAAAAAATTACAAAGTTATCGTAATTTGAGGTAGTCTATAGAATTTCTCCACCAATTATAAAAAAACAAAACCGATCTATTTTTCAAACCTATTAATATCTAATTCCACGAAATAAGTTTTATGAAATAACTAGTTTCTTCTATTCCCCTTTTCAATGAGTTGTTAAAATTGATGTTGTTTTGCCGGAGCCACAAACACCAACAGATTGCTAACCAAAGTACATCTTCTTACTCTTGAGAGGTTTGCCTCTCATTTTGAAATAAGTTTTATCTGCATGCTTTAAGATTGAGGTTTCAACAATGTGTCCTATCTCCAGCCAATCTTCTATAGATTCCCATACTCTTGAGGCAAAAAGGAGAGAGATTAAGAGATGATAAGATCTTCCTTCACTGCAAAGTAAGATACACACATGAGTTCAATGGGAGAATGAAATAATCTCGTCTTGTCTAACACTATTTTCGAAGGAAGTTTATTGATGATCACTCTCCAACCGAAGATATAGATTTTTATGGAACTTTAGTCTTCCAAAGGTTCTTCAGTTGCAGCATGATTTTGATTCCTCCCCCGTTATCAAACTAAGAAGACCTTTGAGTTTTCGACAAGAGAGAAGGAAGAGGGCTCTTCCCACAGCTTCAAATATTGAGAAATATTATTTTGACCTCCAATGAGAAAAAGATATTAATTCAACTTCCAACTATTGTTATTCCAACAATTGAAATCGCTTACAGAGGCATGATTGAGACTATCTGAAATTAATTCCAAAAACCTTAAGCTCAAAGGTTTCCATCGGCACCAACTGTTCCACCAAAAAAGAGTTTATCACCATGCCCTAGCTTGCACTGAATGGAGTCTCCAAACCAGATCTGATTATTGGTTAGCTTAGATCTCATCAGAGATAAATCCCTCCATAAAATAGACGACATCTTTAGAGACTTGGAGGACGGAGGACTAAAAATTTCCTGCAACAAGTTACCACATCTGAACTCCAGAATACCATTTCAAATCGCTTCCCGCTCATGGATGAACCCCCACTTCCATTTCTCTATAAGGGCGTCACTAACTATGGAAATATCTTTCACACCCAAACCACCTTCTTTTTTTGATCTGCAAATTGTTTTCTAACTAGTCCATGCAATGCCCTTCTTAACATAATCTCCTTTCCATGAGAATCTCGATTGAATCGAAACGATAAACTTTAAAACCGCTTTAGGAGATTATAAAAAATACAACATAAAAATTCGAATATTGTTAAGGGTAGAGTTTAGAAGCGTGATCCTACCACCAATAGAGAGAAACTTGCCTTTCTGTGATGAGAGCTTGCACTTCAGATAGTCAATGACTCCCGACCACGAAGAAACCCTTCTAGGATTCGAGCCCACCCATATTCTGAGAAATTTGAAAAGGATTTTAGCAGCATAACAACTCAAAAAATTCACGCCAGCTTTAAGAAAGGAAGTTGAGCTATTAATGCCAAAAATCATGTTTTTAAAGAAATTCACCTTTAAACCAGAAACTAATTCAAAGCCCCAAAAATATGCCTTTAAAGACCATAGATTTTGCTAACTACAGTCCCCCGTTAGAATTGTATCGTATGCGAATTCAAGAATGTTATAAGTACATTCATCACCACATTTCATTCCCTTGAATAACCCTGTATCTGAAGCTTTGAGACTAAGCCTGCTAAACCTTCATCTACAATCGCAAAGAGAAATGGATATAACATATCGCCTTGTCTTAGCCCCTTCGATCCAACAAAGTATGAGGTTGGACTACCATTAATTAAAATTGAGAAAGAAGTGTTGAAGATGCAATCCTCTATCCAAGAATTCCATCTAGATCCAAATCTTATCCTTCTGAACATATAACGAAGGAAACTCCAAGAAACGCAATCGAAATCTTTTTTGAAGTCCACTTTTAAAATCTGGCCCTCCTTCTTGAATCTTCTAGCATAGTCAATGAGTTCGTTAACCACCACCACCCTATCAAAGATTTGACGCTCTGGAATGAAACATGTTTGAGTATGAGAGATAACTTTTCCAATCATCCTCTTCAATCTTCCCACGAGGATCTTGGACAGGATTTTATAGGTGCTAGAAATAAGACAGATCGGATGGTATTCTCCGAAGGTTTGAGGGATCTCCACCTTAGGAAAAGGGGAAATAAACAAAGATGAAAAAACATTAGGAAGGATACCTGAAAAATAAGATTCGTTAAGAAAATTCATAAGATCCGACTTCACAAGATCCTAGTTTTGTTTGAAGAAAATTTTAAAGAAAATCCATCTAGACCCAGAGTTTTTTTCCCTATCACACTCCTAAATAGCTTTCTTTAATTCTTCTAGGGAAAAGGATTTCTCTAAAATAAGGTTATCTTCGTCACTAATTTTTTTGAACTCAACACCAGGGAGCAGCAATCTATTTACCATGTCTTCTTTAGAAGTCTTTTCAAAAAAAAATGATGCATTCCTTAATCTCATAAATTCCTTCAATTCTACCATCATCAATATCAATGTGAAGGATGTTTTGTTTATTGTTGCGAGTCCTCACAGCTTTGTGAAAGAATCTCGAGTTCATGCCGCCTTCCTTGATCCACTTTACTCTAGATTTTTGTTTAAACAAGTTTTCTCTTCAGAGAATTAGATCCCAAAAAGAATTCTTCAATGCTTTCTGAACTTTCAGCTCATCTACATAATTGATAACTTCCCCCTTTTACTACTTGATTTCTAAATGATTAATCTTTGAAAAAAACTTCTCTAGTTGGAAATCCACCCAGCCATAGACTTCTAAGTTCCACCATCTGAGCCTAGCCTTTAACAACTTGAGTTTCTCTTTGACAATGGATGCCTTTTTGCCTCTGGCTTGTAAACTCTCCCATTATTTCTCAATAAACGACTTGAATTCTTTATGCTCGAACCAACCAGGAATGAACCTAAACGGTTTAGGCCCCCAGTCTATGAAATCACATTTCAACCATACAAGGCAGTGGTCTGAAATGTCGCGATGACCTATTTCGACACCAATGATGTTCCAAGAATTCACTAACCCTGAAGAAATGAGAATACGATCCAACCTGCTACAAACACTACCATCTGATTTTCTCCAGGTAAACTTGCTCCCTATAACAAGCAGTTCCTCGAGATCCAACTTCTCAATGAAATCTAAGAATTCTTCCATTTCCTTCTTGCCGCTTCTATCAGAAACACTACTTCTCTCGTCGGCTTTTTTGACATAATTAAAATCTCCTCCAATACACCATCTCCAGGACCTAAACTATTTTTCTTTTCAATAAACTTAGACCCCAACTTTCTCATCTTAGACAGCACGCAGAAAGAAATAACATTGATGAAATAACAAACCTTATATGCTTTTTGCGCACTAAGACCCACATAATAATCACCTTCAAAACTAAAGAGAGGGGAGATAATCCCAGGTTTCCAAAGAATAACCATCCCCTCAAATTGGCCCATAGAATTTTTGGTTGTTTAATCTACCTTTTTACAACCCCAAATGTTATGTCCTAGAACACAATCCATCTTCTTCAATTTAGTCTCTTGCAAAAAACACAGATCAACCTTAGATTTTATTAAAATTTGGTGAATCATCTTTCTCTTTAAAGGATTACCACACCCTCTAACATTAAAAGAAACTACAATCATTGGAAACATTTGATTTTAGACACCCTCTTAACCTTCTCTTCCTTATCTCTCTGCTACGTAGAACTGATCAAACCTTTATAAACTTCATTCTTCTCTGACCCTTGAATACCAATCTCTTGAATCATAATCCAAAGCCTACCCACCAAGAATCTTCGGTTTCCCTATCTCAAATTCGAATCTGACATTTCTTCAGAACACAAAATAGATCCACCAGAAAAAGCTTGAGAGGAGTCAGAAGAAGAACAAGGGCGCAATCTATTCGAAAAAGGTTAGGGAAAGGAAAGATGAAGAAACACTTTTAATTTTTGAGGAAAGAGGGTGTGGCAAGAGTAGACGGAAATTTTGGAATATCTGGTTTCTTTGATTTGAACACACAGAGTTGATTGGATTCACTATTAGCTTCTACAAATTTTGAAAGGGAACTGTTCTGGATTGGGTTTGGATCTGCTCATCCGTCGGGCAGGCTCAACTCAACACTATGTGGGGAAGGCCTAATTCTCCCATGTCGGGTACAAAGCCACATATATCGGGCAGACGACTCCCTTGTCGGGCAGACCCACACGTTCTCCACGTGCTCCCCACACGCGGGGACACGTCATCAGGAAACTACCCACCTCCGAAAGAGCTGGTCAGCCCACCTTCCAGAGATCACTGGACAGTTGATCTAAGGCGAAGACCACGTTCTGGTCTTCAGTACGCCACGTAAGCCCTAGCAGTTGCTTCGGTTAGGCCTGGAAATCTGGCCCAATCCAAGTAACCATTGGCCCTGCGTTGAGGTTTCTCTATAAATACCCTCTCTCACTAGAGGGTCAGGGATTCCATTCTACACTTATTTCTGTATTTTCTCTCCTACTCTGATCATTTACTCACTTAAGCATCAGAGTGCCTTGCAGGTACACCCCCTCCTTCTCCCTACCTCCGGTGACAGTTACCAGTCGACGACACATGGCAGACCAGCGATCTCCTCTGATCAGGTACGATCAGCGGCGTCGTCTTTGGGAACTTAAAGCTTCCCCGTTCTTCCGAGCAGTAGAACTATATCTTTCATCAACTCCATCAACTTCCGAGATCATGACCAGCCCACGCCACGACGATGTTATCCATAATTCCGCCTTCTGCCCACTCACCGTCAAAGAAGACCATGGTGGGCCTGTCGACAATCATGATGGCAACGTTATGGACGGGCATACAACCTCTCCTTTGTCTGACAATGCTACACGCAACGTTACCTTTCGAGCAAGGATCTCGGCTGTTTTCCAGCCCGTCCCCACACCATCCGGGGCGGACCCGACAATGACTGCCTTTTTCGTAGCCATCAACTAGACCAATTTGATGATGTTCCAGCAGAACGAGTGTATCGGAAAGCTAAAACAAGATAGCTCTTCTCGCTCTCCCCCGCGGAGAACCCAACGCGAGGAGTCCCGGAGCCCCTCTCCCCGTCAACGGGGGCGTCGACCATAATTAGAGAGGCCCCAAACCGTGGCCTCCAAGAAGCGCGACAGGTCGCCTCCCCAGAAGGAGAGGCACTCCCCGGCCCCGAGGAGGAACAGACCTGAGGGCCCGAGTAAGAGGACAAAGAGTCGTAGTCAAGCACCTCGACACAATCCTTCCCCCTCATGCTCCCTTATCCGCAATGACGAGGACAATCACCGGACTCCCCTTTCACGAGAAATCATAGAGACCCTCATCCTCCATGGGATGGAGAAGCCGCCTGCGCTCTCCAGCTACGAAGGCACGACGGACCCGGAAGACCATCTGGAAGACATCGAGGCCATGCTCGATTATCGAAACGTCCGAGGAGCCATCAAATGCAGGCTCTTTCCGACGACTCTGAGGAAGGGAGCCATGACCTGGTACAAGATCCTAGAGCCCGAGTCCATCATATCGTGGAGGGCGCTGAAGGATCTCTTCTCATAACATTTCACGGTGCCCCGGAGCCATCCAAAGACGAAGGCTTCCTTGGGCACAATCATCCAAGCCCGGGACGAATCTCTTAGGAATTACATCAAGAGATTCACGACGGAAGCGGTCCAGGTAACTACTTCAGACGATATGAAGCGTTACCTCATGGAGCAAAGGCTACACCGCGGCTCCAAATTTTATGAGGTCGTGGCAATCCACCTGCCGCTTCCTTCGCGGTCACGGACAGGTCACCGAGGATTGCATTCACCTCAAAGATGCAATCGAGATACTCATCAAGGATGGGCACTTGAAGAGGTACACCAGAGGAGGAGATGCCCCTCGACAGGAGACCCACAAAGGCAAAAGGGTCGAGGACATTCCTCCGCCCACAAACGACACGGGGCTACCAGTGGCCCTCAGCAGAAGTCGATCTGAAGACTTGTTCTCCCTAAGAGAACACGACTTCTCTACTTGGCACCAGCTTCCCGAAGAACCAATACGCCCCATCAGCTCGTGGGAATACTTCCCCACTGCGATGGTCATCTCCGACGGGGCCCTAAACAAGTTCTTCATCGGGTCCGTGAAGAGGAAGTTCGATGAGTGATCGCGACTTTCTATGTCTAATACAACTTAACTGCAAGTGCACAGTCTATCGCGTAGTAATAAAAGATATCGATCCCACAGGGACTCGTAATCAAACTAGTGTTCTCGGAAGTTACTATGTTTAGCTAGGTAGATAATGTTTAAGGAAATAATTTCTATCACTAAAGGGAACTAAAAACGTTACTTGAATTATAATTACGTGAATCAATATGCAGTAATTATGTTCTTCGGGAATTTGACAAGTTACCGGTATATGAAATATTTTCAGAATTTATTTAAGTAGAAAATAGTGATCTGAAGACTTTCGTCTCACGATGGTTGTTGACGCTAGTCATAATTCTAAGGGACGAATATACGCTTTCGTTGTCCCATTCGGGGTTAAAACTACTTTTTGGAAATCTCTAAGTTCTAATCCATTTTAAAGTGTTTTCGCTGTTATTAAAACAAATGCCTAGTGTTTACTATCTGGTCTTACCGCAGCTGTCGCTTGTTGGTTCGTACCTTAATTAATTTCCCACTGTCGTGGCAAAACTACTTTTAAATAAGTTCTCGCTTTCGCGACGAACGTTTATTCAGTAAATAAGTTTAAACACTCAGACCATAAACAACTTTTGAAAAAGAAAGTTTTCAACCGGTTATTATCAAATCCCGTCTGAATTATTATTACATATCGATTACTCTGATTTAGCTAGACATGGATTTGCGAAAGGTAAAACATAAATAAAAATAGAAACTTAGAACATTCATATTACTGAGAATTAAAGTTACAATTAACGAAATAATGAAAAACCTGTAACGTATCCAATTGACTTTTGGCCAAATCCCAACGATGTCGGCAGGATTATGTCTTCAAACCAATAGAGCACACAAACGAATATTGTCGAAATGGAATACAGGAATAAGGAAAGGAAACAAAAACAGAAAAAATAAAACTAAATTTTTGCTCTGGAAATAAATTTGGGCAGCACTTCGTTGTCTGAATGCGGCTCCCTTTCTCAGCTCCCCTCCTTCCCCTTTTATAGAAGTAGAATTCTAACGGTTTTAATTTGAAGAAGGTGGACTTGGAGGCAGAAATATCAGGGAGTAGTGGTCCATTATTTGGGACTTGGAACTGTATTTTGCACGTTCAATTGAAGTTGTGCGTTTTTGCCTGCATGACGGTCGTCATGGTGTGTGACGGTCGTCATGGAGGTGTGACGGTCGTCACAGCAGCAAAATGTGCATTCTGCGTTTTTCATGTTGTTTTCATCTGGTTTTCGTCCATATTTCATTTGTAATAGCTTCTTTTCTTCATATTGCTTTGTTTAGACATGATCATCAAATACCTGCAAAATATCAGACAAATAACATGGAAAGAAACCGAAATCGGATTGAAAACAGTCAAACATTAGTTGAATTATGCATCAATATATATATATATATATATATATATATATATATATATATATATATATATATATATATATATATATATATATATATGTATATATATATATATGTATATATATATATATATATATATATATATATATATATATATATATATATATATATATATATATATATATATATATATATATATATATATATATATATATATATATATATATATATGATTTCGTGTTATCAAACTCCCCTAAGCTTGAATCTTTGCTTGTCCTCAAGTAAAACAGGAAAAAGTCGGCAAGCACGAGGCAGCTTCCTCATTCAGAAAGTTGGGAAAAACCGGGATTCTTAGTAGGAACAAAACGAGTACGGTGACGACACTGGACTACAAGTCTTCGGAGGTCTTCTTCTTATGCAAATCGATACCAGCCATGCTACTGTAGCTTGGTATCAAGGTTCTCGCGTCAAGTTCACCCTATTTGTTCTAGCGCAATCACAGTAAGCCCATTGTCCATACACTTTCATAGCAAGTCAACCTGTTAGTGAATATGATCTCATTTCTGTTTTGATCTTTTTCATTGCTCATAAGCTTATACCATTGATTTTTTAATGCGTTTTTGTACCGTT